CACAAGTTCACCACGGGAGTTCAACACCACAACACGTTCATCACCACCAACAGACGTTCATTTACGTGAAGAATGATTAATGGCGGAATCATCCAGCGAGGCGACACTTGTTACAGACGAGAAAAATAACAATTGGGAAAACGATAATCTCTAAAATTAATTATAACAACCAATTAAAAACTAAAATAAGTGGCTCTTTACTTCAGAAAACAGCGGTGTTGAAGATTATTAAAAGGTCGACGCTGAGTTACTACAGAGGTTGAGTGTTATTACTGTGGGTGTGTTATTACTGTGTTACTACAGTGGTTGAATGTTATTACGGTGGATGAGTGTGCTGTTGCAGTGGTGAAATGCGTTACTACAGTGATGGAGTGTTATTACAGTGGTGGAGTGTTACTACAGTGGTGGAGTAACTACACTGGTGGAGTTTTACTACAGTGGTGGAATGCGTTACTACAGTGATGGAGTGTTACTACAGTGGTGGAGTGTTACTACAGTGGTGGAGTGTTACTACAGTGGTGGAGTGTTACTATAGTGGTGGAGTGTTACTACAGTGGTGGAGTGTTACTACAGTGTGGAGTGTTACTACAGTGGTGGAGTGTTACTACAGTGGTGGAGTGTTACTACAGTGGTGGAGTGTTACTACAGTGGTGGAGTGTTACTACAGTGGTGGAGTGTTACTATAGTGGTGGAGTGTTACTACAGTGGTGGAGTGTTACTACAGTGGTGGAGTGTTACTACAGTGGTGGAGTGTTACTACAGTGGTGGAGTGTTACTACAGTGGTGGAGTGTTACTACAGTGGTGGAGTTTTACTACAGTGGTGGAGTGTTACTACAGTGGAGTGTTACTACAGTGGTGGAGTGTTACTACAGTGATGGAGTGTTACTACAGTGGTGGAGTGTTACTACAGTGGTGGAGTGTTACTACAGTGGTGGAGTGTTACTACAGTGGTGGAGTGTTACTACAGAGGTGGAGTGTTACTACAGTGGTGGAGTGTTACTACAGTGGTGGAGTAACTACACTGGTGGAGTTTTACTACAGTGGTGGAATGCGTTACTACAGTGATGGAGTGTTACTACAGTGGTGGAGTGTTACTACAGTGGTGGAGTGTTACTACAGTGGTGGAGTGTTACTACAGTGGTGGAGTGTTACTACAGTGGTGGAGTGTTACTACAGTGGTGGAGTGTTACCCACATGATGGAGTGTTACTACAGTGGTGGAGTGTTACTACAGTGGTGGAGTGTTACTACAGTGGTGGAGTGTTACTACAGTGGTGGAGTGTTACTACAGTGGTGGAGTGTACTACAGTGGTGGAGTGTTACTACAGTGGTGGAGTGTTACTACAGTGGTGGAGTGTTACTACAGTGGTGGAGTGTTACTACAGTGGTGGAGTGCGAGATTTTTATTGGACAAAATAAGCTTCGTATCGGAAAAATACTTTTTTTTTTGGTGGCCATGAAATCTGATGGTTGGGAAGACATGTTTTTCAGCGACTTTCTTCCCACTGTCCATCACTCTGTTGTTGATCCTCTCCTTGTACTCTTACTACTTTGGCTTCCACATTCCTTCCTTTCTTCATTTCTTTCCTTTTTCTTCCAGCCTTCCTTTCTTCATTTCTTTCCTTCCTTCCCTCGCTCTGCGTCATTCCTTCCCTTCCACGGTACCTTCTTTCTTCGTTCCTTCACTCCTTCCTTCTTTCACATTCTGTTTTCCTTCTCGCTTCCCTCCCAATCCATGTGAACCTAAAACACATTTTTAATAATAATAATTATATGTAATTATAATAATTACATAATAATTATATAGTAATTATAATATAATAATTATATTATATAATTATAATTATGATTTACTGGGTAGTGTAAAACTCGTAAGGAATGTTATTTAGCGCTAGAAGTATGGGAAGGGGAAGTTAGCTCCAATCCCTTGGAACTCTGGGAGGGAACAACACAAGTCACTTAGCTGGACATTCTTGGGCAGAGTCAACCTTTCTTGATAAGGATACGTTTCGCTGTGAATAGAGCGAGACGTAGCGAAGCAAAGCTTTATCAAGCAGTGTTCGGAGTGAAACAGTGCTTCATCACGCTGTATTTAGAGCGAAACACAGTTTTATGAATGTCAGTTCAGAGCGAAAGAATGCTTCATCAAGGAAGGCTTGATGTGCCAGTGGTTCTTAACTGAGGTAGAAGTACGTAGTTCTACTCAGCACAGTAGTTCTTAATTGTGGCAGAAGTAGACGGTTCCTCTCAGCAGCTAGCTCCGGTGTGGTCTTCCCATGCACTCCCCTGTACTCTGGCTGTCAGGTAAACGCTGACAAAATCCACGGGCTTGAAGCTCCGATTTTCACTTGGTAGGTCACCGTGGAACAAGGCTGGCAGCACGGTACGATACAGTATGTCTCCCATCCTTCCTCACCTTTCTTCGTGTCTCGTACCTGTCAGAAATAACGTACCGTACCGCACCGTACTGCCAGCTTTGTCTTGGAAACCCCGCCGCCCTGGGCACTGCTCGAGCTGGGTACTAGAAAATGCTTTAAAGTGATGGCATGCTGCCACTGCGTGTGGCGATACAACAGAAAGAGAGAAAGGGAGAGAGGGAGAGAGAAAAGGGGGAGAAAGAGAGAGAGAGAGAGAAAAAGGGGGAAGAAAGAAAGAGAGAGAAAGAGAGAGAGAGAGAGAGAGAGAGAGAGAGAGAGAGAGAGAGAGAGAGAGAGAGAGAGAGAGAGAGTGAGTCTGGACACTTACATGCAACCAGTCCCATCTGATCTTACCCGTGTTAAAATCCTTCTTGCACTCGTTATAGGAATTGAAACAACTTTTATGCGGCTGTTTTCTTTATTTTAGCACTTTTTCCCGAAGTCACGCCGGGTCATTTGCATAAATAATTTGCATACGGAACGTGGCACTCTCGCATTCGGTAAACTGGAGCGATTAAGGGCGTGTTTAAAGTTGTGTGTTTGTTGGGAGGGAGTGTGGGAGCAGTGATCCAAGAGTCTCCCTTGAGTCCTGGCCAAGGAAGTTTACGTAGGAGCCCAGCGAGTGGATCAGCCAGGGAGTGGATCAACCAGGGGGAGTGGATCAACCAGGGAGAGTGGATCAACCAGGGGGAGTGGATCAACCAGGGGGAGTGGATCAACCAGGGAGAGTGGATCAACCAGGAGAAGTGGATCACTAGGGAGAGCGGATCACAGGGGGAGAGTAGATCATGGGGAAGAGTGGATCACTGGGGAGAGTGGATCACTGGAAAGCTAAGTTTGAGTTTCGTGACTGACATAATTACTGTTTCTCTCCCTCTCATCATTACCAATTTCAACCATCCTAACAAACTGTCATTATCAACACAAATTTGCTGCTACCCTGACTAGTTTACTGCATTATCACTGTTGTGCTCACAGTATCGTTAAAATATTTCTAAGTCTTTATTAACTACAGTCGAAAACATATCCATAATTCATTCTGTGGCTTATGTTTTAAGTCTCAGTAAATTTTGAAGAAAGGGAAAATGTCCCTACTATTTATTCCGAATAATATATATTATATTTATATATATTATATATATATATATATATATATATATATCTATATATATATATTGATTTCATAATAACGTGGTAGACTGACAACGATTGCAAATTAAATAAATGAAATTAGAGTAAGTGACGTTGATTTCAACAAGCTGGTACCAGGAGTATACCTGGAGAGGATTTCGAGGGACAACGCGACTTGACTTGACTTAAGAAATCGTAATGACACGATTGCAAATAAACCATACCCCCGGCCGGGACAACGCCCCCGCGGCCCGGTCTGTAACCAGGCCTCGCGTTGGATCAGGGTTTAATTAATCAAGTTGTTACTGACCAACCAGACTATGTAAACAGAGGCAAAAGCATTGTACTTCTTTAGGTTACACTTGTACTGTCTTGACCTTGAAGCATCAAATCAAATTCTTGCTATTGAGACATTTATCTTAAGCGTCTTTTAAAAAAATTAAGCGTGAAAATATTGCCGGAATTTTTTTTTTTTCGCTGGACTTTTCCCTGAGAGAAACATTCCATATTTTGGGTTCATTTTGGGTTCCCTTTGGGTGCCCTTTGGGTTCCATTTGCTGTCCGTTCCAAACACAGATGAGATATCGAAATGCATAAGTAAACAAAACTGTAAATATTCTTGCATCCCAACATTCATATTAAAAAAAAAGAGTTTCCCTTCATGTTTCAACGTTTCAGCTCGGCTTGCAACGTTTCTTGCCATGCCTTGATTCTCTGCAATCTGCCTTTCCGCGTGACTTGTTGCATTTCTGTTTGATATGCTCTCACAAACATATGTGTGTTTGTTTTTCCTTCATACTTCGATGTTTAAAATGTGTTTTTTTTTTCACTCTAAGAAATCTAAGGAATTTTGGCTATGGTTTGCCTCTAAGAATTTCACTCTGACGCAGGAGGTACAAACTTTCCTAGTTCATTAATCCTTAAACAGTAAAATAAATGACTGATATGTGAAACTTTCACCTGAGTTCAAGGTTAAGCTCTGAAAAGATTGGGGTTCCAATGGCACTCACCTGTGGTTAAGTGCAGAGAGACGAGAGGCTCCACAAGGGTTGGGTTCCAAAAGTACTCACCTCAGGTCAAGACGGCAATATAAACACAAATGCAGTATAATGTGATCCTTTATTGACTACGTTTCGCCCACACAGTGGGCTTTTTCAAGTCACAAAAGTTCTGTTTGTGACTTGAAAAAGCCCACTGTGTGGGCGAAACGTAGTCAATAAAGGATCACATTATACTGCATTTGTGTTTATATTGCCATTGTGTCGGTATTTTATACCATTTATTTCCATCAGGTCAAGACCACTGAGAAACTCTACAAGGGTTGGGTTCCAATGGTACTCACCTCAGGTCAAAACCACTGAGAAACTCTACAAGGGTTGGGTTCCAATGGTACTCACCTCAGGTCAAGACCACTGAGAAACTCTACAAGGGTTGGGTTCCAATGGTACTCACCTCAGGTCAAGACCGAGGAGCTCTCCGAGTGTGGGGTTCCAATGCTTCCGGCGTCTTCGAGTCTTCTTGCTGAGAGTCTCCACCTTCATGACTACTTTTATTAGGTCGTCGTAAGGGTCAGGCGGTACGGTGGGCGTTGATTTGGGCGCCTCACGACCGCTCGTGGCGCCGACGCCCAGCAGCGCCTCACCGGCGCCCGCGGGCGGGTGAGCCGGGTCGTCGTTAGCGGCGTTCAGCTGGGCGGACGCCGCCGCCGCCAGGGAAGCCTCCCGCGACCCGTTGCTGGTTTTCTGCAGGTGGCGCTGGCGGAAGGCGTATTGGACGCGGGCGTGGGCGGGCGTGTGCGGGCGGTCGTCCGACGTGAGGCGGGTTTCCACGTCCAGTACCAGCACAACCGTCAACAGCACCAATCCAGTCATCACCGCGATTACCACTCGCTCTTTCAACTTCATCTTGCAGGACAAACGAGAAAGAGGGAAAAACAAGATACTGGAAGAAGAGGGACGGAAGCGGTAACAGAGAGAAAAAAAGGAAAGACAGAGAGGATAAATGGGGAGAAAGTCAGAAGATGTGCAGTCACGTTAACATGTCTAGGGGCGCCTTGGGAGGAATTCTTCTATAGGGTGGTCGCCATAACTGGTGGTCGGTGATGCGTTCCTCTTTCACTTCTTCTCTCGGGTCGTCTCACCACTACCAATAACCTGGCCAAAACGCCTCTCAACTTCTGCCAATCAACTCACATCACTGTAGTTATGTTTCCATTTCTTGGGGTCGATCAACTCCTCTCATCTCATCAACTCGGGCCACACCAGTATGGGTGGCCACAGCAATTAAGACCACACCGATGCGAGGGGCCACACCAGGCTGTAAATTCTTCCTCGGAGCGGTAGTTTTTTAATCCCAATCTGGAAACAGAAAAATAAATGTCAACATGCAATATTAACTTTCATCGGCAGCTGGATTAGACAACTTGGTGTTGTGCTGTTATTGTTGTTATAATCAGGGGGAAGCACTAAACCTTTAGGCAATCAAGTATGATTCGAGGAAAAGTAAGATAGGTTCGCTTCCTTGGATCAAGATTGTCTTACCGGCATCAAGGTACCTTCCTAGAGGGTTCTTAGTACTGTGAACACATCTTGCGATGGACAAAGAACTATAATATTGGTATTACTTTGCCAGACGCTCTCTCTCTCTCTCTCTCTCTCTCTCTCTCTCTCTCTCTCTCTCTCTCTCTCTCTCTCTCTCTCTCTCTCTCTCTCTCTCTCTCACCCTCCTGCCATAAATCATCAAGTTATCAGACTGTTAGCTGCCACCAGCTCGAGCGACAACATTAGGTGTCCACTTAATAGTTAGGTTATTAATAACGTTAAGATGATGCAGGGAGAAGGGGAAGAAGTAATGAACCAGCATATGGGTGTCATCGGGGAGACGGGTGTAAAGGGAAGGTAAGGGTGGAATTATAAAGGAATAATATGGGAAGGGTTATTAAGGAAAGGTATGGGTAGGGTTATAAAAGGAAGGGGGGGGCAAAGTTATAGAGGGAATTAAAGGGGGGTGGGGTTATATAAAGGGAAAGTAGGGAGGTTAAGTAGTAGACAGAAGATGGGATTTGAAAAGGGTATTGAGTAAGCCGACCCAATTCACCAACCAATTCTTCCCCTACACCACCATTTCTCAAGTCAGTCCTTCCAATACCTACCACAATTCACAAACTAACTCTCCTTCGCACCACCACAACTCACCAAGCAACACACTTCTCCACACCACCACTACAACTCACCAACCAACACGCTCCTCCACACCACCACACTTCAGCCCAGCCCCCAATAACGACGACAATTCAGCAGGCACCCTCGCCCTCCCCCACACCTCAGACCAGCACCCACTTACCATCACAATCCAGCAGCAACTCAAAGACCATCACTCAGGGTGTCGACAGCCGCTCAGCTGGGATAAAGCGTCTCGCAAAGTTACATTTCCACTCCCACCTCGCACAACCAGATTTCTGAACGTGTCACAAAACTAGATTTTCCCCGCATGTCTTGCAAAACAACATTTGTATACATATATTCTCGTATTTGTTGCCATCGCTGCGTCGGTGACGCTAGACGCAGCGCAAGTTTCCCGGCTGGACTTTGCGAAGTCCAGACATAAATCTAAAGTTGCGATGCACATGTTGTCGAGTAAGTTCCGACACCAGCCTCGCGCCACACGATAAACATGTATAAAATCAACATTTCTATGAATATTTAATATAAACATCGAAAAGGTCGAAGCATTTTGAAAGCCGACGCACTCAGGCGGCACAAGACCAACCTGGCTTAAGGAACACAGCTCTCAGGCGTGAGCAACCTAGTGTTGATGGTATAAACCCTCTCCCAGAAGCTCTCAGACTGTTTCCCAGTAGCTCTCAGACTGTCTCTCAGCAGCTCCCACACTGTCTCCCAGCAGCTCTCACACTGTGTCCCAGCAGCTCTCAAACTGTGTCCCAGCAGCTCTCACAGTCTCCCAGCAGCTCTCACACTGTGTCCCAGCAGCTCTCACATTGTCTCCCAGCAGCTCCCACACTGTCTGCTAGCACCGCTCAAAAGAGGTACCACAGTCTGCAACACGTGTGTATATGACGGGCGGGGATAGATCCCGTGATCAGAGTGTCTGGAGATCGCGGGTTCTATCCCCACCCATGGTATGGTTTGTTTTACGTGTGTATATGAAGGACTTCACAGGAGAGATACCCTTCACAGCGAGCCTCCTTGCCACCAGTAAAGGGTACTTCACCTGTGGAATGGCAGCTACCCTTCCCTTCTTTGGATCAAACTCGAGTGCTTTCCGTTCCTCATACGTTGTGACCCCTATTGGCTTACCTCTTCCCCATGAATACAACATTAACAATGACAGAATTATAGATATATATTACATGAATTAAAGGAACAAGGGGACAATTGTAAGCTGAAGACGCAGATGAACAATAAGGACAACAATAAGAACTTTAGGCTTGGAGTGGTAGAAAACTGGAATGCGCTGGATAACGAAGCGGTGGACGCAAATTCATTACACAGCGTCAAGAGAAGGTACGATAAGGTCCAAGAGGCCAGAAATCAGGTGAACACACACACACACAGTGAAGCTGTGAATCGACCCCTTCAACCACATATAGGTGACTACACACAGTGTGAAGAGTTGATATACGTAACTAGGGCCAAGATTTCAGGAATTAATGAAACCTGTCGACATGATTCAAAAGACGGAGCCAGGAGCTGTGAATCGACCCCTACACACACAGCAAGGTGAGTACACACACACACACACATACACACAGACTCCCCCCCCCCTTACTAGACAGAGAGATTATTTCATCTCCAGCACAGTGTGGGTATAACATCCGCCGCCCGCATCTCCCCTTCCTTTCCCCTCTCCCTAACTACCATTCCCCAACCACTTGCTACACGCCTCTCCTCACCCTCTAAATACCTTCCCCAACCTCCCATCTCCCTCAGGCTACTTTCTTACTTTCTCGTTCCCTTCCTCTCAGCTCTCTCACTCAGCTCCCTTCCCTTCCATATCCCTCACCCCAGTTCCTAAACTCCCACCTCCCTCACTCAACTCCCACCTCTCTCTCTCTCTCTCTCTCTCCTTTCTCTCTCTCTCCTCGCTCCCCAAACTATTACGTCCCACACTCTACATCCCTTCCCCCGCAGTTCCCCACAGATCCTCCCCCTGGGTGGGTACGGCAGCATCTCAGCTGTACCGGCAGCGTTAATGAGAAAACAGCGGCTGTTGTTGCGCCTCATAAAGCCTCTCTTATATCCACGTAAACAATGCCAACACCTCAAGAAAAATGTAGCAAATGTAACGACAAAGAATACTCCTGGAATAGGTGTGTCACCATACCTGTGACACACCTGTGACGTGTACGTAAATAGGACACAATGTGGGTTATGACATATTGCTGAGAAAACGTTTCGCCCAGATTCTGACAGGTGTGATATTACAAGGAATACCCAAAAGTTCAAAATATGTACTCACTGGAACGGAGGAGAGAGATATACATGAAACGTTTCGCCTACACAGTAGGCTTCTCCAGTGGAGATAAATGGTATAAAATACCGACATGATGGACAAATAAATACAAATGCAGTATAATGAGATGTGTGGAAAGTATCTGAGAACTCATTTTCCAATCTGCACACTGCCATAACAACATACTGAAGTGAAAGATGAGACAGGAAGTGTAAAATAAACCCAGTGAAAAGCAGGGAAGTCGTGGGCACAATAAGAGAACACTGCATCAACACTGCATCACAACCTCAGTGACTCAGCAGGAATACAAGACTCCAAGCTACATTAGTGCCATCACTGAATTGGAGACTCCTTCTACTCCAGCACCAAAACCTATTGCAGCATTGACCTACAGTCAAGCTGGGATGGTCCCATAGATGAAAAGGCACTTGCCAACATGCTTAAGGATGTAACATCAGACAGGGAGACTGCCCGTCTCCAAGTTGTGAGTGCACATCACTCTGGGGACTTCCTCACATGCCTCGACCCTAAGACTCTCCATATTGCGGTGGCTTTCCGCCTCGCTGCTCCAATTCACACGAAATATACGTGTTTTTGCGGTGATGCGCAAGCCACCCAATATGGTCTACATGGTCTTAACTGCTCTAAAACCAAGAGTTGGCATGCAAGATACAGTGAAGTCAACGATATCATAAAGAGAAGGCTTGCTACAGCTGGATGCCCAGCCGAGAGAGAGCCTCGATCACTAGCAGCCAGCAATACTCATAACCCAGTAAACCGCCCTGATGGGATCACCCTCTATCCTTTGAAGAATGGCAAGCTCTTAGCATGGGACTATACCTGTGTGTCGACAATATCGGCAAGTACAGAGACATAAGCCAACAGCATCAATGTGTCCCTGTAGGATCAGAGACCTTGGGACCATGGGGAAAAAACGCCACATGCTTCCTTAAAGAAATGGGTTCTAGATTCATGGACACCACCAGGGACCTGAGGGTGGCCACTTTCATGTTCTAGCGCCTCAGTGTGGCCATCCAGAGGGGAAATGCTTGCTGCATACTTGGCTCGTCTGGCTTCAGAGGAGCTGGAGGAGATTCATAATTTTTTATATAATGCACCAATGTATTCATGTTTGTATTTTTTGCCAGTGTGTTCTGTCTATAAAGTTAACATAAAATATAGAATATAGGGGTGGTAGGAGAAGAAAATATTCAAATAGCTCCGGGTAGAACCTTGAGTTTATTCTCTTTTTCAGGATGAAGGTCCCCAGTACAGTTTTAGAGGCTGCATATACACACACACACACACGCACACGCACGCACACACGCATACACACACACACACGCACACACACACACACAAACACACACACACAAACACACACACACACAAATACACACACACACACACACACAATTATATATATATATAATATATATATATATATATATATATATATATATATATATATATATATATATATATATATATATGCAAAACAACCACTGTGAAAGAGTAGTGAAATTCCAAGCGCTTTCGTGACTACTCACATTGTCAAGGAACTATGAAAGTAATACATCAAAGGAAGGCAATTAAAGGGCTTAGACCACACCTCACAGTCAACCCCCACAACAAAGAAACACCTGACGCGGGACAATACTGGACTCATAAGAGGAACACTACAGTAGGTCCGCTGGTCCAACTAGACAGGTCCTCACGACAACCCACTAACAAATTATTCTACCCAATGAAATATAAGGTTTTATTAATTATAAACAATCTAACCAAATTTTATTAATTTTCAAAGAATCTATTTTATACAAATCTAAGGAAATATTCATATTATATTTTCAACTGCTTTTTATGAAACAAGATTAATTAATTT